CAGATTGTTCCGACAAAGATTCAGCAACCGATCAAAGTGGTCCGCCGATATTGGTTTGAGTTCCTTTGACTGGATAATTTCTCTATGCGAGCGACATTACACTAAGTGTATTCTGCCCAATGAGGAGTAAACAAGTCCAGGGGTTTGCTGAATAAGTAACGGCTGCTTCTGCTACAACGTCCATGTTAACAGTGAATGCCGCCTAATGCTCCTTTCGGTACTTCCTCGTGCAGGTTGTGACTTGAAGTTAAATGCATGGAAACCGAGGACATTAGAATTGGCTTGTCCATGGTTCTGAAAATTCGAGAGACGGGTACTCGCGGGCAGTCTATCTAACCTACACTCATTCTGCTCGAAATATTCTTTAACCGTTGTAAGATTCTCTAAAATTTAAGGATATTTGTTCAAAAAAATTGTGAGGTATACAAAATGGGTTAATTTAACTGGGTGACATGAGCACCAATACTTTTGATTTGCGGCTCATTAGTCGGAAAATCCATTTGCAATCCGATGTCCAAATGTAACGCTCTTTTTCACGGAATTGTTCAAAGGAAGAATTTAATAACAATTAATATCTATAACATACTACTAATAATGCGTTTTTGGGGAAGTTTTATAAAGTACATGTGTGTATTTTAAAATAAGATACATGAATTACTCAAACGAATAGACTGGGCAGATAATGGATACAACTGATCGCACAAAAATAAACACACTCAGCTATCCGTTATTTCCGATCTACGCGGGTACTGATTGGATCTTTCTCCACAACTGCTCCAGTCGTTTGCTGGTTACATGGGAGATAAGAGATGGTCAGATTTATCTGATCCGCTGATCCTGTCAATACAGGGCCTGTAATTTTGTCCTCGTCAGCTAATATGTATTTATCTGAACGAACGAGAATTCCGTTTCGTTTTTCAAGTGAACAGACGTGATTGATTGTGTAAAACAGGATACAACTTATCTGCAAAAGTAAACGCTTTTATCCCATCGGGAGAAATGATTCGATACAAAGTTCTGACAGATGGTATCTATGCCTATATGTGACCCGGACTGCTGCAACTTACAGCAGCATAGCCTATAATCTCTCTGTACTATGTTTTCACGTCCACATACACATGGATCTTTTTTGCAGTTAGCATGCAGTTCTATCTGGATGAGGAAGTTATTTCTGCATTGGACGCTTGAACTTCAGTTTGTCTTTAAGGAAAGCATTTCTTTACGGAAATCCAAAACAGTTATTCCTTCCCCGGATACAACTGGCCAGAGACGATTGTGACGACGAGTTGTGTAGAATAGTTTACACAGAAAAGGAAAGCCTAACAAGGGCTTTTCTCGACGACTACTAATAAACATGCAGTCGAGTTGGTAATACTCCCTTATCCATTTTAGAACCAATTCCCTTTTATTAGACTTCCATGTCATTCGTGATGTTGATATAATGACACTTTAGCCGTAACCATTGACATCAGTGAATCGATTAAAATAATGTTTTGAAGAAGGAGTCCAGTGGACACATTTTTTCCTGTATCCTGATATGTTTTTGCAATGTGAGTGTCCTCTAGTTCTAAAATGATTGGTTTTGAAGATCCTGTATTAAAATTCGAATTGAAAAACTAAATCAGAAAATTTGTGATAACGACCAACAGAATATTTCACAATCCATCAGGTTTCAATTCCTGTTTTCAAAGCACAGAGCTTTATTGAAGATGAAACACTACCCTCAATGAAGAAAACAGTTTTCAGGGAAATCAAGAGGTGATTAATCCTGATTGTAGTAGTGGCGATGTTGGCAGGGATAGTAGTCATAGTATCAATAAAGTAATGCTCCCAAGTGTCCAAGATTAAGCAGTTACAAAAGGTTTTTTTTCAAATCTGATCTCATTGATCCTTACGATTAACCCCGTTTGCTGATAAACTGTATTCGTGTGCTACTGAGGCACATCCACAAAAAATTATGAATGGGATGACTTCGTTTAGAAAGAGACGAAGCCATTATGTGATTACCAATAAACTGCTGTTTCGTGAATGCTGGAGCTTGTCTGTAGTGCATGCTATTGTGCCTATGGCATGACTATAATCACATTTGCAGTGTGTGTGCAAGTGGAATGAATGACATTCCAATAACTAAAAGCCATATTCACAACATACAATCAAAAGCAATGGAGATTTCATATAAAATTAAATGGATTTATGAAAACAAATGGCTTTGAAACCGCACGCTATTCGTCGGTGAGAGATTTAATTCTCATATGAAGTCCCACTTCTCTTCTTATAACTGAACTTCAAAAGAATTAATGGTAGCTGTGTCGAGGCCAATAGTTGGGACTCCATGCATTGAATTGGTAACTGTTGATATTCTAAGCCCTAGAATTCCCAGTGAGAAATGGGATAAGTCCTGAAGTACTTGGGTTTGTGAGTAGTGCTTTTGGTTTTAAAAGCAAACAACAAAATGATGATCATTAGGATTCGGTGCTTATCAAAATTGAGACGATTTGGTGAATGTTTGCAAAGTTTATGCACTCAAATGTTATCGATAAAGGGAGTAAAAGACACTGAAAGTTTTCAACTTAAATGTCTTTCACTCACTGAACAGACAGATAAACCTTCGTAAAATTTATGAAAAAATTAAAACACAAGAAACAAAACTGGTTAGGAATAAAGTTGCGTTCACCATCGGAAACTGAAGGGTAAAATAGGATTCATGAAGTAGTTTCTTTCAGTGTACGCAAACCTTTGATGCAAAACAGCACTGGCTGATTTAATTATTTATATGTTCATGCATTTTATCCGGGTCAGAGGTCGGACACCTTTTGGATTACTCCAAGTTGAATTCGTCTTAATCACCGTTTGAAGTACAAGTTTTAATTATCTCAATTGGATTTCATACTTCAAACTGATCACTTGTTACATCCTGTCAAAACTCCATTTCCCGCTAATTTCGTTGTCCCATTTTAATCTGCACTTTTGGATAAACAATCGATACTCTGGCTCCGAGTAGAGTGCACGGTCTTCTTTAGAGCAACGAATTTTACAGGCTGTGCATGTGTGCTAGATTATATTTTTTTGCTGCGACACACATCAGCCCAAAATGCTGAAAAATATTTATACGAAAGCTATCGAACACAATAGTGAATAATATAGGATTATCTCATTAAAAACAAGTCACAACGAATTAAAAAAGTTTTTGAAAAGAACTAAGCCTCGATCAAAATGTCCGATCCCGTGAATCAGTTAGAGAATGTTTCAACAAAGAGAAATCAAATTGCCTTTGCATTCCAATTCATTACGGTCCCAATTATGCTTTTTGAAAAATAGGTTGATTCAAATATTGTGGTCAATTTTATCATTTAAATTCACGGTTATCCGTCAATATAGAATTGAGGAGTACTCTGAGATACTTTTGCTTTCCTCTTATTTGCTCAGTAAATATGAATTAATTACAGTTAGCTACCATTTCATATTTGTTTGTCATATGCATATTGTTCGTCAGTTGCGTGAAGAGATTACATAGATTACATAGACTATTTATAAAACTGCTTGTTGTACAGAGCAAAATAATCGTGAACTGAAAAGTTGGGATGAACTGTATAGCAATTTCAACCCGATTCAGCTGCGCCTTGACCCACATGAGAATCAAACCCGGAACCAAAAAAATAGAATCCAAACATAGCACCGATTAAACCCCCGGGGCAGATGATCCGGCTGTTATTTATTTTCTTTTTACCTGTAAGTTCTCCGATTCGATCGAGGGATTTGCCTCCTGATGAGACTAAATCAGACGGAAACAGCTTCCTGATTTTTCAGTTTAAGATGAAATCCTACATAAAATCATCGATTTACAACTAAAATGTCGATTTCTCAATCACCTTAAAAGCCGTGTACAAAATTTTATTTTTGTTGGAAATCATTGATAATGGATACTCAGCAACCTTATTGGGATCTAATACCAGTCAAGAAGCAATGCAAGTCTCATGTTGTAGCCGCTTGAGAATTTTGATTCGACTCCGAGCAGCTTGCTCCATGTCAAAATTTTATTCCAATTGGACCAATAGAGAAGCTGGGATATATTGCGTGTTTTCAATAGACGAAAATCAGACATCAGTTATTACATACGATAAAGCGGTATTCAAAAACATTGAGATTTGATTGTTGCTATTAGAAATTGGTTTATATTGTGTGTGATTGCCCCAATTAGTTTGTGCGGCTCGATAATCTTGCACATGATTCTGAGATCCCTAATGCTTAATTTCTTCATTCAGCAGAAATCACTTATCTTCAAAAAAGCAAACTGGAATCGTTTAAAGTGGCTATTTAACTCTGCAAAATCAAATTTATCACAATCTCTTTTCATGTTTCCGCGTTCGCCTTCTAGAAAATACTACTACTGGGAATATCAGTTCAATTTGAACTATTGTAATATGAAGGTATTTTGAAATTCTTCAAGCAGTCCAACTGAACATTAAACGACTTTAGGCAAGCTATACTCGTTCTCGTTCAATCCCGAAATCGTCCGATGTTCTGGAATCTCAAAGTCGACTGAATTATCCACGCATCCATTTTTCACAAGGATGGCATGTTGTGTCATTTTTCATACAATCTCGATCACAAACTTGTGTGTATTTATCCGGTTGGTGAAGCTCGGTGAAAAAAGAGAAAAAAGCCGTGCATTTCGAAATATATGCAACGTTGTTCTATTTGCACGATTGCAAATTACTAAAACATGCGCTCTGCAATAACTGAAACATATGTTAAACTTTTAAGTCCTTTCTGAGGAACAACTTATTAAAGTTTTAGCAATTTCATCTCGTCGCCAAAGACAACAAGAGAATAAACGCTTTCATCAAAACTAAACAGTGAAGAATCACTTTGTTTTGTACACGCTTATCCTACTGTGTATTTTACGATATTTATGCTTGAGAACTTACTAACATCAATCAGTGTATACCAAAAGTCTTGCTAAATACTTTCGACTTATCTCTCATTTTTATTCTTTCCAGGCTCAACTCACGTTCAGTCCCGAATTCACGTGTTTTGTCTCTACTCGACCTACTTGGATACGCTGTTCTGCAATTTAACATTCCTACAAACGTTCTTTTCCAGTTTGGACGCTTACCTCAGGTTGCGTAATCCGACATTCTACTTAACCTCCGCCAGAAGGCGGCCAGCATTGTGGTTGAAAGTTGGCTCTCCCTGGCTCGTGGCTGGTTTGCAGGCTATTGGTCAATTGGCTCTGAGCGATCGGGATCAAGTCAGCTTGCATTTTGCATCGATAAAAAGTGCGGATGATCAAGAAGATGGTCATTCGTGGGGTGTTCAAAGTCTGCAAACCACCTGTTTGCTTCCCGATCCGAACTTTCTGATCATTCGAACAGCGATTGCTTATGCACTCCCTTTAATTGTTTGTATCATTTTAGTTGGTTTGCAATTACGATGTTTGAGGGGTTTACGTAATTATTCCTACGAATCGCTGCAAGCACTGCTTCATGTTCGTTCTGGGGTGCAGAGTCTCCGTTCGGGTAGACGCACCACATCTGTAAACAATTCACTTTATGCAAAACGTCAACACCAGTCCGCCTCCATCCCCGTTACATCCGCTTCCAGTGTGTTATACATACCCGAGCAAGCAAGTTTACGTGACCTTCGATCGGATCATGTACGTTCGCCTGTGGCCCATAGGACTTACGGCACCCAGCAATTATTAACCAATTCTCTTCATTTGGACCATCAGTGTACTTTTGAAACACTGATTCCGGACGGCACTTTATCTACACATCATTTGCCCAGAGTGGATAACTCACAACAACTGTTCGCTCCATCGACACACGTGTCACATGTACTACTGCCCACAAGCACTATGCCTTTTTTCGAACTGCATTCAATTGACACAACCAACATGGGCACTGACGTGATTTATGCCACAACTCAAGGTTCCATTATCAACTGTCCGGCCCATGGCCCCATCAGTATGACAATGACAGACCAGGCAACAAGTCCAACAAACTTTGCACAAGGAACTATGTGTTCTAGTCAACTGTCCGACCCAGAAGTTGGTACTCATTCACCAGAAGAACTGAAGTCGAACGATCCGATGGACGTAAAACAGACATCCAATAGGGAAATAGAATTACAGATTCAAAATGTTGAGAGAAATACAGAGCGAGAAAATTCGGAACCGAAGGTGACGGAACCGACGCTGTTGAGAGGAAATTCAATCGTGAAATCCACTTCCTCTTATAGCATGCCCCCTTTGTGTACCCCCGGTTCACCCCGGCAAAACTGTGTTTTAACATCTGAATCAGAACCAACCCTACAACCATCCTTGTGTCCGCCGACGACAGTGCACGAACAGAACGACTACTTGGGGGCAACCGCACCACTCTGGCTACGTGCATACAAAGGTGAGCAACTGGCCGTGGCTATCAATTTGGTCAGCTGTATTATAGCTGTAGGCACATGGTCCCCATTCATTTTGTCCACATTGGCTCACGGATTATGCCAGCCATTGAAATTTCCAGTACTCGGTCATTCAAATCGTGCACGTCCAGTTTACACAATGCATCCAGCTCTGTTGAATCTACCTCAGAGCACACAACCACCCAGTCGTTGTATGATACAAGTAACACCGGATCGCATAGCCGATTTTCGGTGGTGGGCCTATGCAAGTGCGGGTTTGTTACTGCCCTGTTTACTCTTCTTCCTCGATTTGGGCCTACGTGAAGGGTGTTGGAGGGCTCTGCGTTATACTGATCGATCTGAGAATAGGTCAACCCGGAAACATTGTAACGAGCACAAAAATGACAAAAACAACAACAACTTTCGGACACAGAACAAGATGACTGACAACAACAATAACAACAACTCATTGCTAGCTACAAACACAAATCAAACCTATCGGTGCGTCGATTCAAAACCACAACGAGACATTCCACGTAGGGCAAAGAAGTTATCATCATCATCTCGAAAATCAGAGGAAACTATTCGTCTGGAGGAGTTGTGGAATAAACGAACAGAACAAGAGAGTGATAACTCAAAATCTGTACAGATAAAGCCCGGCTCCACTACAAATGCATAATGCGTCTGACGCGGTCAGGTGAACGCAATAACAGGGGCAATCTTTTGGATGAGAATCTTTACCAATTTATATTGTTCATTTTGTACAGTATACTTACTAACCGGTGCGCTAGTATGAACAAGAAGCGTATCTAGTTGTGGTTATTTGCTCTAGAGATCATGTGTACAACAGACTTCAGTGTATGTAATTCCATTTCTTTACGAAACTTATGTGATCATTAAAACTGTGCAGTCTCGGTGGAGTTTTGTCATCAGAATACCAGACCTATTGGTTAATATCAGCGGGGGGGGGGG